AATAGAAAGAAATTAATGACCCAATAAGAAAATATATATATACAAAAAATTAGCCGGCATGGTGGCGCATGCCTGTAGTCCCGAGCTACTGAGAGGCTGAGGCAGAAGGATTGCTTGAGCCAGGAGTTTGAGGTTGCTGTGAGCTAGGCTGACGCACGCAGCTCACTCTAGCCAGCAGGGTACAAGCAAGATCGCTCAAATATATAATGGTAAAAGGCAAAGTTCACAAGAAGAGATAACAATTTAATATATTGCACCCAACTTAAGTGCACCCAGATTCATAAAGCTAAGCTTACTAGCTCTAGCAAATTGATAATAGCAACTCCTAATCACCGAAGATTTCACCACCCCACTGATGGCACAAGACAGTCCTCCAACAGAAAATTAATAAAGAAAATTGGACTTAAACAACTCTAGACAATTGGGTCTGACATTACACGACTTCTACCAAATATATATGTATATGAATATACATTCTGCCCAACATATAATGTATATGAATTACATTCTTCTCATCAGCCACGGACATCCTCTAAGATTGACCATATCCTAGGACACAAAAACTCAAAAATTTAAAAAATTGAAATCATCCATGTACCTTCTCAGATCACAGTGGATAAAAGTAGAAATCAACCTAACAGAAATTCACATTTCTACACAAAAACATGGAAATTAAGCAACCTCCTACTAAATGATTACTTCATGAATGAAGAAATTAAGATGGAAATAAAAAAATTCTATGAACAAAATGACAATGGAGAGACAAGTTATCAAATCCTCTAGGACACAGCTAAAGCAGTTCTGAGAGGAAAGTTTTTCTCCATAAATGCCTATAACCAAAAGTCAAAAAGATCACAAATAGACAATCTAACGAAACGACTCAAAGAGATGGAAGAAGAACAGACCAACCCCAAACCCAGCAGAAGAAGTGAAATCAACAAGATCAAATCAGAACTAAATGAAATTGAAAACAGGGAAGCTATTCAGGAGATTAATAAAACAAAAAGTTGGTTCTTAAAAAATAACAAATTGACACGCATTGGGTAAGCTAATGAAAAGCTGAAAGAGAAATCTCTAATAAGCCCATCAGGAACAAAAAAGGAGATATCACAACTGATCCCAAAATACAATATATAATTTATGAATACTACAAAAATCTTTATGCACACAACTGAAAAATGTGGAGGAAATGGACAAATTTCTAGAAACACACAGCCTCCCTAGGCTCAACCAGGAAGAAATAGATATCCTGTACAGACCAATCGCAAGATCTGAAATAGAAACAGCGATTAAAAATCTCCCTATAAAGAAAAGTCCCAGTCCAGATGGTTTCACGCTCGAATTTACCACACTCACAAGAAGAACTAGACTATCTTGCAGAAACTATCACAACATCGAGAAGAACGGAAACCTCCTGACACCTTTTATGAAGTGAATATTACTCTGATACCAAAACCAGGAAAGGATGCAACAAAAAAGAAAACTACAGACCAATATCCCTAATGAACATAGATCAAAATTTTCAACAAAATCTTAGCTAACCGAATCCAGACGCTTATCAAAAAAATAATCCATCACGACCAAGTGGGTTTCATCCCAGGTATGCAGGTATGATTCAACATACGTAAATCTATAAATGCATTCACTACATAACAGAAGTAAAACAAAGACCACATGATTCTTTCAATAGATGCAGAAAAAGCTTTTGACAAAATTCAACACCCCTTCATGATATGAACACTTAATAAAATAGGCATACAAGGAACATACCTAAAAATGATACAAGCCATATATGACAGACCCATAACCAACATCATACTGAATGGGGAAAAATTGAAAGCATTCCCACTTAGAACTGGAACCAGACAAGGCTGCCCACTATCTCCACTTCTATTCAACATAGTGCTGGAATCCTGGCTACAGCAATCAGACAGGAAAATGGAATCAAAGGTATCCAAATAGGGCAGAAGAGATCAAACTTTACTGTTTGCTGATGATATGATATTATATTTAGAAAACCCCAAAGATTCAACCAGGAAACTCCTGGAACTGATCAATGAATTTAGTAAAGTCTCAGGATACAAAATCAATACACAGAAATCAGAGGCATTCGTATACGCCAACAACAATCAAATCGAGAACCAAATCAAAGACTCAATACCCTTCACAATAGCAACAAAGAAATTAAAGTACCTAGGAATATACTTAACGAAGGAGGTAAAAGACCTCTACAGGGAGAACTATTAAACACTGAGGAAGGAAATAGCAGAGGATGTAAACAGATGGAAATCCATACCATGCTCGTGGATCGGCAGACTAACATCATTAAAATGTCTATACAAACTGATCTACAGTTCAAAATACCTATTAAATCCCATCAGCATCTTCACAGATATAGAGAAAATAATTTTATGCTTCGTATGGAACCCAAGAAGACCCCGAATATCAAAAGAAATTCTAGGCAACAAAATCAAAATGGGAGATATTAATATGCCAGATATCAAACTATACTACAAAGCTGTAGTAATTAAATCAATTGGTATTGGCACAAAAATAGGAATATTGGCCAGTGGAACAGATATGTGAATCCTAATATAAAACCATCCTCATATAGCCATCTAATCTCTGAAAAAGCAGACAAACCTGGAAAGAATCCCTTTTCAATAAATGGTGCTGGAAACTGGATAGCCACCTGTAGAAGGCTAAAGCAGGACCCACACCTTCACCTCCACAAAAATCAACTCACGCTGGATAACAGACTTAAACCTAAGGTATGAAACTCTTAGAATTCTAGAGGAAATGTTGGAACACTCTCTTAGACATCGGCCTAGGCAAAGATTTATGAAGAAGTCCCCAAAGGCATCACATCACAAAAATAAATAAATGGGACATGATCAAACTAAAAGGCTTCTGCACAGCCAAAGAAACAGTCATGAAAGTAAACAGACAACCTACAGAATAGGAGAAAGGTTTGATCCTAGGCATCTGCTAAGGGGCTGATAACTAGAATATTCTTAGAACTCATGAAAATCACCAAAAAAAATCAAATAACCCTATTAAAAGTGGCAGAGGACTTGAACAGAACTTTTCTAAAGAAGACAGAAGAATGGCCAACAAACATATGAAAAAGCTCAACATCTCCATCATCAGGGAATTGCAAATCAAAACCACAATCAGATATCACTTAACTCCAGTGATAATGGCCTTTATCAAAAAGTCTCCAAACAATAAATGCTGGCGTGGATGCGGAGAGAGAGGAACACTCCTACACTGCTGGTGGGACTGCAAACTAGTTCAACCTCTGTGGAAAGCAATATGGAGATACCTTAAAGCGATACAAGTGAATCTACCATTGGTCTAGCAATCCATTACGCATCTCAAAATCCAATGACACTCTACAAAAAAGACACCTGGGCGGGAACTCGCGTCTAGGGAAGCGAGACCGCCTCGCGGGGCCGGGAAGAATGTGCGGAACGACTCGCAGGGACGAGTGACAGACGCGGCCTGTGCTCTACTGTCGAGCGCGGTGTTAGCAAAGCCAGGCTCGTATCATTCAAGGGATAGCCCAAAGCTGCGTGATGACAGAATTAGTCCAATGATGCATTGCTCCAGTGGAGGAGATCCAGAAATTCCAGTTGAGATCAAGTTGAAAGACACCCCTTGTTCTTTCCCCATGAGGAGCAGCCCTTATCAACAGCAACACTGACAGAACCTGCGTTTAGGGTAAGGCCTGATGGCTTTGAGTCTAGGTTGGAAAGCTCGCAGGAGCTGCTGTGGTCTCCTTCTGCAGGCTGTGAGACGTCCTCCTTTGTTTCCCTGGGCCAACTGTTCCTGGAGAGGAGCTGGAAGCTTTTTGGATCCTGAGATGAGAGCTTTCCTGGAGGAGAACACTGAAGTCACCGGCAGTGGCAGCCTCACCCCCGAAATCCAATTGCGGCTCTTGACCCCCAGGTGCAAGTTGTGGTGGGAAAGAGCTGACCTGTGGCCCCACAGTGATCCTTACTGGGCAATCTACTGGCCAGGAGGCCAAGCCCTGTCTAGGTATCTTCTGGATCATCCTGATGTTGTCAGAGGGAAATCTGTATTAGATCTGGGGAGTGGATGTGGAGCTACAGCCATTGCTGCTAAGATGAGTGGAGCATCAAGGATCTTGGCCAATGACATAGATCCTATTGCAGGAATGGCTATTACACTAAATTGTGAATTGAACCGACTGAATCCTTTGCCCATTTTAACCAAAAACATTTTGGATTTGAAACAAGATAAGTGGGACCTTGTTGTTCTTGGAGATATGTTTTATGATGAAAGTCTTGCAGATAGTCTTCATCAGTGGCTGAAGAATTGCGTCTGGACCTACAGAACTCGAGTACTGATTGGGGACCCTGGGAGGCCCCAGTTCAGCGGACACAGCATTCAGCATCAGCTGCACAAAGTGGTAGAATATTCACTTCCAGAGCCTACCAGGCAGGAAAACAATGGACTGACGACAAGCACAGTGTGGGATTTTCAGCCTTGAGTTGTCAAAGTGCTTCCAAGTGTGAATATAGTTATGTTTGGATTTAACCCTAAAAGTTTTCTTCACAGGAGATATTCTCTAGTTTAAATAATGCAATTCCTGGCCTCGAGCGGCGGCACACGCCTGTAATCCTAGCACTCTGGGAGGCCGAGGCGGACGGATTGCTCGGAGTTCGAAATCAGCCTGAGCAAGAGCAAGACCCTGTCTCTACTATAAACAGAAAGAAATTAATTGGCCAACTAATATATATAGAAAAAATTAGCTGGGCATGGTGGCGCATGCCTGTAGTCCCAGCTATTCGGGAGGCTGAGGCAGCAGGATCACCTGAGCCCAGGAGATTGAGGTTGCTGTGAGCTAGGCTGACTCCACGGCACTCACTCTAGGCTGGGCAACAAAGTGAGACTCTGTCTCAAACAAACAAACAAAAAAAAGAATGCAATTCCTGTTAAATGGCAAATCTAGTTTCCAAATATGAAGGTTTAAAGTTGTATCAGCCTTTGTTACTCTGCATCTTTGTTAGTTCTGCATTTCTGTGCTTGCTCATTATACAATTCTCTGTCTGCAATTTTTTCCCTAGTTTTACTGTTATAGAAATATTATGATGGAAGGCAATACTCAGTGGTGGTAACATGTGATTTAAGTAGTGGAAATGAATTAGAAATTCTAGCTGGGCCAGGCGCGGTGGCTCATGCCTGTAATTCTAGCACTCTGGGAGGCCGAGGCAGGCGGATTGCTCGAGGTCAGGAGTTCAAAACCAGCCTGAGTGAGACCCCGTCTCTACTAAAATAGAAAGAAATTAATTGGCCAACTAATATATATAGAAAAAATTAGCCAGGCATGGTGCGCATGCTGTGTCCGGCTACTCGGGAGGCTGAGGATCGCTTGAGCCCGGGAGTTTGGGGTTGCTGTGAGCTAGGCTGACGCCACGGCACTCACTCTAGCCTAAACAACAAAGCGAGACTCTGTCTCAAAAAAAAAAAAGAAAAGAAATTCTAGCTGAATTTGTTTCTATAGTTGAGGATAACTGTGATGAATCTTTGAATTAAACAAACAAAATACAAAATGTAGAAGGTTTTTTTTTTTTTGAGATGGAGTCTCTCTATGATGCCCAGGCTGGAGTACAGTGGCTATTCATAGGTGTGATCATAGCTCGCGGCGGTCTCAAACTCCCGGGCTCAAGTGATCCTCCTGCCTCAGCCTCTCCAGTGGCTGGGCCTCTAGGCTTGTGCCACTGCACCTGGCTTAGGAGAATATTGTATATTTAAAAAGTTATTTGTAAAGATCAAATATACAGTTAGTATCATAACAGAGTACATAGGCTTTTGAGTCAGGCAACTCTGTCACGTTCTAGCCAGAATTTTGGGCTAGTTAAGCTCTTGAAACTTTAATTTTCTCATCTAGAAAATAGTAACAAAACTCAATAAACCTTACCTCAAAGGGTTATTGTACTAAATGAAAGTATAAGGTGTCTAATATAGTATGCAGTACATAGTAGGGCCTCAATTAATATCATGAGAAAAATAAAGATTTTAGAATTTCTACATATTCTGTGCTGTGACACCTTGTGACTCTTTATGGTTTACTAAGGTTAGCTAGAAACTGGTTATGCCACCATTACATGTCCCGGTTGTCAGATGTTATCAAAAATACATATTCTAAGTGGAAATATGTGAAGAAGAATATGTATATTATGCCACTATTTTATAAAATGTATATTTTAATACATGTATATATATATTATAAAATACATACTTGCTTACTGTAAAAAAAAAAAAAAAAAAGACACCTGCACTCGAATGTTTATAGCAGCACAATTCATAATTGCAAAGCTGTGGAAACAGCCCAAGTGCCATCAATCCAAGAATGGATTAATAAATGTGGTATATGTATACCATGGATATTTCAGCTCTACGAAACAACGGTGATATAGCATATCTTATAGTTTCCTGGTTAGAGCTGGAACCCATATACTAAGTGAAGTTGCAAGATGGAAAAACAAGCACCACATATACTCACAGCAAACTGGTATTAACAGAGCATCACCTAAGTGAACATAGGTACTACAGTAATAGGGTATTGGGCAGGTGGGAGGGGGGGCGGGTATATACATACATAATGAGTGAGACGTGCACCATCTGGGGGATGGTCATGCTGGAAACTCAGACTTGTGGGGGGAGGAGGAAAGGCATTTATGAACTTAAAATCTGTACCCCATAATATGCCGAATTAAAAAAAAAGAAAAAAAGAAAGAAAGCCTTCCCCTGCAATGGAACAATGTCTACTGGGAAAACAAAAAAGATTTAAAACACAAAGAAAAAAAGAAATTAAAGATTAAAAAAAAAAGCCTTCCCCACTAGCTTGGTCAGAAGGGGCTTCAGCTGACATAGACTCTCCTACCATGGTCAGGGAGGGCTTTCCATAGGAGGTATGTGGACTAGGTGTTGGAGAATGTTTAGCAGTTCATCATCAAAAAGAAATGGATTATACGGGGCGTGGTGGCTCACGCCTGTAATCCTAGCACTCTGGGAGCCCCAGGCAGAACCATCGCTCGGGGTCAGGAGTTCGAAAGCAGCCTGAGTAAGAGCAAGACCCAGTCTCTACTAAAAATACAAAGAAATTAGTTGGCCAACTAAAAATATACACTAAAAATTAGCTGGGCATGGTGGCGCATGCCTGTAGTCCCAGCTACTCAGGAGTCTGAGGCAGGAGGATTGCTTGAGCCCAGGAGTTTGAGGTTGCTGTGAGCTAGGCTGACGCCATGGCACTCACTCTAGCCTGGGCAACAAAGCGAGACTCTGTCTCAAAAAAAAAAAAAAAGGATGCTTTTATTGACACATTATATTAGACGGAGAAAACAACACGTGGCCATATCAATTTAAAACTTATTTTAATTTATGCCTATTATTATATCAGTTGGGGTGGTGGTTGTGGGGGCTTATGGAGATTATGGTGATGTTTAGGCCCACACTCCCAGGCGAGACAGCACCACTCCAATTGCATCCCCAGTAGTATCACCGAGGAGGTACTGACATTTCCCCCTCTCCTCCAGTGGCATCTCCCAAACTCACTCAGGGCCTGTCTCTTTCCTTTCTTATTAGTTTTGGCTCCTGTTTCTCCCACTCCATATCCCTACTGGCCCCTCAACTTCTCTAGAAGTTGAGCTCCAGAGCCTAATTGCAAAGACCCCTATCCACCAGAAAGTCCACCCAAAGAAGGGCGGCCTATTTCTTCCCAGTACAGCTCCACTGTTCTGTGCCGTGAGGCGAGAAGCCACTTCTTCCACTGAACGGCACGAACAACCTTCCGAGATGGCGGTCCCCAGGAAGTGCTACATGGGAGCGGCCATATTCAAGCCCAGGAAAGCAGCTGATGGTAACCGTAACTGCACCCTAGATGGTGGAACACAGCTTCGCAGGTGATTTTGAGCATGCGTATCAGAAACCCCCACCTGACCCACCCAGCCCCCGCGGTGTTAGAGGTCAGTGCTCCAAGTGGAAAGGGTTTTCAAAAGGTGATGGTTCAGCGCCTGAGGGCGTTGAGGTGAATTCTAGGAGGTTAGCAATGGGGTTACTCTATGCTGAGTAATAGGGAAGGGGAGGTGGGTCGGTGGATTCAGGGATGGGGTCTTTACGATGGATGCTCAGCTAATTAGTAGTAAGCCTTTCTTTTTGTAATATAGGCATTAAGGCCATAGATTTCCAGCCCCACAAGATTTTGCTTTATCATATTCTCATTATTGTTCATTTCCAAGCATTTTAAAAAATCATTTATGATTTTTTTTCATTTCACACGTGTCATTTTGAAGTGTGTTTCTATTTGCAATAAACAGGTTCATCCTTCTGTTACTGAATTTCCAACCAGATTTCTCAGTGGTCAGATAATGTAATTTGTGTCCTGAACATTTCTTGAAATGAGTGGAGTCTTGCCTTACGGCCTAGACCTTTGTGAATTCCCATAAATGTTCTATTGTTTGCTTTCAAAGAATATGTGTTTTCGAGTTGTTAAGTGTGTTGTTCAAAACTTCTATGCCCTCTCTGATTTTTTTCACCTATTGCTGTATTGAGGGTAGTGTGGTGGTCATATGGGCATTTCTTTTTGCTTGTGTCAACTTTTGCTGTATTTGAGCTTTATTATTAGGTACAGATGTGTGTATTTTTAATACATATTGCCAAGTGGCTCTCAAAATGTTATATATACCAGATATATATACACACATGTACATTTATGTATATAAAATATTAATATTTCCACCAGCAATGTATTGTGAACTACAAATCTTAAGCTCCCCCCTCACTTGACTGAATGGACTCCCTCTTGGACAAGGGGATACCCTAAAGCTGAGTTGCTGGCCATGAGAAGAGAGGTCAGACATGATTCATCATGGTGTCTCCCTTTTTTGGAGATATCCTTTGTAGCTCATTAAAAGGCCTAAGGCTATGCAAGATAAAGCTTAAACCACACCTGCAGGTCCTCAATTTATATAACAAATCACTTGAGTCGGAGTATATAGCCAGTATCTTGTCTCTGATTAGCAGACTTCCTTAACTTAAACATTCTAAGACTTTAGAAAATGCTTCATTTTTTTAACCAATTACAAATCAAAGAGTCTTTAAACCCACTTATAACCTGTAAGCCCCTGCTTTGAGACGGTCCACCTTTTCAGGCCAAATATACGCCTTCCATGCATTGATTTATGATTTTATGTGTATCCTGTCTCCCTGAAATGTATAAAACCAAACTGTAATCCAACCACTGTAAATCCACTTGCTCAAGGCTTCTTGGGCATGGCTCCAGGCAATGGCCCTCAAACTTGGCTCAGAATAAACCTCTTTAAATTATTTTACAGAGTTTTGTTTCTTTTCCACTGTCAGATGGTGCCCAGATGTGAGGCTCGGAGATGACTCAGGACCTCCAGAAGGAGTACCTTGAACTTGGTACGAGGAACCGGCATGGCCCCCTTGAGCCCCCTGAGTCAGAGCTTTCTCTTTGGTGGAACTGGTAAGTCTTCCTGAGCTCCAGACCTCCTGTTCCCAGTTAATGGTCCTGGTTTATTCTGAACTGTTGGTTCTTTTCCTAGGAATTTGTTGTTCTGGATCCTAATTTTGATTTGAAGGTACATTCTAAAGGGTTTTCTCTATTGCCTCTTCCTCCCAAAATTAATCTCAGTTGGCTTCTCTGTGCATTTGTGAGAG